TTTCTGCATCTATAGAAACATTCTATTTTATATAAACAAATCAAAACGCTTAAAACATTTATCGACAATGTATGATTATACTATAGAGGGACAGTTATTATTATGAGATAGAGATAGAGATAGAGAGAGAAAGAGAAAGAGAAAGAGAAAGAGAAAGAGAAAGAGAAAGAGAAAGAGAAAGAGAAAGAGAAAGAGAAAGAGAAAGAGAAAGGGAGAGAGAGAGGGAGGGAGGGAGGGAGAGGGAGAGAGAGAGAGAGAGGCTTCTGATATGAGATAGCAGGTTTTCAACATGATAATTTAATCACAAATTCACACCAATTACACGATCTAACAATGAATTTCCACAGATTTCACTCCAAGGGCAATAAATTCACGATGAAACCAATGGATGATGCCTATTAATTTAAAAAAAAAATCCTGCTAGCTCATATTAGGAGCTTGTCGCATAAGGGGACTTTCCTCTATATACAATTTATCAATTTGCACAAACTGCATAAACGTATTTATTGACCACAAAATAGAATGTTTCTAGACGCAGAGAGCACATTGTAGATTAGGCTTTAATATCTTCAATCGGGAGGGACTCGGGACCAGTGCAACCCTTTGTTCGATCCGGAATGTGTCTCGCGCCGCCGTCTAATTAAACAACTCGCGCGTCGAAATACACGCGCGGGGATGCCGTCGCGTTCCGTCATTATCGCTCCCTTTCGCTCCCTTTCCGCTCGACTCGCGCGAATCGCGAGCGGAATATCGACTCGCGCGCGTGAACCAAGGGTCGCGTTGCCATAGCGTTGCACGGGAATCGATTTCACCTGTCGCCGGTGCTACCCCGGACGACCGCTCGCGCGCTGTCGCGTGCTTTCGCAGCCGATCTCGAGTCATCGGGGCACGGCTGCGAAAGCGTACGGAAAGAAGGGACCACCCCGACTTGTCTTATCCTGACGAGCGATTGGAGGGAGGGAGGATTCGCCAGTTTTATCGATGTCCCGACATTTAATTCAGCTCGGGTTTCTTTCCAGGCCGATCGGACGTTTTGAGAACGTACGTTCCTTTCGGGAGCATCTTCGAATGGTTTCGTACGTCTTTTGAAAACTTACGCTAGCTTCTATTTTTTTAAACGACGACGCCAATGAGAAATTAAACGCGTCTCTCACTTTGTTTACCTCCGTTTTCTCTCGATAAAAAGAACACAAGCTCTTCACTCTGTGCATGTTGTTAATAACGTTATCCCGTTTCGTTATAATTTATTTACGCAGAAACGCCAGACTTGGGCGTGCGCGTGTAATTCAGCGAGTTGTTAAGAAATAATTTGCTAAATAATTTTAACAATTGCGTGTACAAAAATGCGTGGATGCGAATTATTCTCGTCCCTTTTGGAAGGAGCGGTTGGTATTCTGATCTTTTCCCTCCCTCAGTCGCGTGGCACACAATAAGCTCTTTCCAAATCGCTTTTAAATGTAGCGAAATATAAAAAGTTATACATTTATTCTGTACGGTGGTGGATATGCATTTATTGATCGTTTATTGGTAACTGGTTTCTGATGCATTTCTCCCCTCTACAGTTGTAATGAAAGAACGGATCAATGCAACATTCTATATACGTGTTCGCTACTATATTAACGTACCGATATCGTAGCTTTAATCAGAGCGAGATTCTAGCTACGCGTAGATTTTGGCTTACGAGCGTCAGTTTCCGTAATAAATCTAGAGCCCCTCCTCTTGTTGCCTCTCTCAATGTCCGGCGCAGGATTACACTACGCAGCTGCACTCGGGAAAAACACCTAACAAAACCGTGAATGCGCCTAAATAATTAAATAACATTAAATAAATTTAATTGTTCTGCGTAGTGCAATTTTAAAATTCAAGGTTCCACGTTTTTTCGCATTTCGCCCTGTAATCCCATTGCTATAGGGGGAGATTTATATTTATATTTAACGCGCGCTACGCGGAATATATGGAACTTCAGCGAAGAGAGCTCACTTATACTTGTTAAAGAAAAAGCCCGATGCGGATAAACGTTCGTTGGCGAAATGCAAAAAAATAACAGGTAAGCATAATCACGCACTGCGTTTATGGTGCAAATTCCGCTTGCGTGTACACGGTGTGCAGCAAAATTCGATAGCCGCCCGACATGTACATTAATGTATCGTCGCTATCGTCGATATCGTCGATATCGCGGTAGATCGAACACGTCGATGCGCTGCACCAAAAATAGACGCGACCGATCAAAAGTTAAAAATGCAACATCGTATTTCGACCGCTAAAAAAGCCCCGGACTTGAATTCGCAAAAATTACGTTGCTCGCGCGCTTGAACGAAATGTTATCGCCTTCGTTAATGCAATGTTATTTCATTCGTAAATAAAACAAAGGAGATCATAAAAAACTGTTGCATATCCCAGCACGTACATACATTTTTCTTCACCAGAAAAATTGTATTCTTGAAATGTATGTATACTTTACAAATCTTCTTAATAGATATACTTAATGAAGAAGAATTTCCTTCTTAACATCGTGTTTTTTGGAATATCTCCTTAAATTGAAAATATATTCTTAATATTAAAAACGTATTTTGAATTTGCAACAACTTTACACCGAAAAAATTGTATTCTTGAAATGCATACTTTATAAATTCCTCTCACGGAAAAAATGCTGTTGAATTAAACAAAATGAAGTTGCTTGAATTAAACGTTAATGTCACGGGCTACCACAAACATAAATAATTCACTCAATTGTATTTGCTATGGATTTTAATTTTAAGCATTGAACTAAATATCTAGATTATTAAAACAACAATCTGATGCTTTTCATTTATTAATACTGATGTTGTTTCAACGATTTTATTTCAATAGCACACTGATCTTGTCGATACAACATTTTCTAGTACGTGAAATATTCTGAAGATGAGAATATAATTTTTTCGGTACCTACTTATTTTCACCGGTCCTCTCGCTTTTAATGGACTAGCAAGCTACAGTGTACAAGATACATGCGGGATGTCAATTTTTAACGGACGAGATCCAAATTATTTTAACGGCCTTGTACTTGTCACCGCGCTCACGTACTCTCATTGCGATTTTATTACGGCTTTATTACGGTCGCGTGGGCAAAATCACGGGTTTGCGCGTTACTGGCGAAACATCACTGCGGAGGAACCGTCTCTCTCTTTCTCTCTCTTCTCTCTCTGGTAGCAAATTCACAAAAAGTTTTTTTTTACGCGAGTACGTGCACGGCGTATCGTGCGCGTGCGGGATCCGCTGTAATCCCGCACGCGTTGCGAGGTAAATACCGGCGGTAAATAGGTCGAGCTCGCCGGGCGGCGAGAGTCCCGAGACCGGGATATTTATGGGCGGCGGGATAATGGGTATTCAATATCGCACCGGACTTAACCGCACCGTGGAAATTCACGGTATTCCGCGGGACGAGGGCCGGCGGAATCGTCCCGCCTCTCTGGTCCGCGCGCCGAAACGATTTTCGAAACGCGGGGCGATAACGATAGCGATCCCATTCGCGCGGCCTGTCGCGTAATTGAATCGCGAGATAATTGATGCCGCGCGCATGTAGGATCGCGGGTCCTGATTTCAATCAGATTCCCAAGGAAGATACGGGCGCGTTGAATTAAATATCCCACTCTCTCGGGCGCGTCTGAACGCGCGATGGACGTTGACTCGTCCCCCGCGAGCGAGCGCGGCGCTTGGGCGAGAGAGATTTTCCCCCTCGGCGCACCGCGCTGATATGCGAGTCTGCTGAAAGCTTTTTTTAATCAGCGAGTGTACTCGTCAAAAATGAAAAGAGGACTCGTTCCATTTCACTTACTCGTATTACACGCGTGTCGCTTTGGTATCTTTGTGCCCGTACTTCGCATTAGCCGAAGTAGACGCGGCCAGGGGCCCGATGCTTGAATTTATTCGCATGATAGACGTATGCGCAAATTCTGTTCTTACGGAAACGTTGTAAGTTGATTGGCTAAAAGCGAGGGGGAAACCGCTGAGGGCATTGTGGTGTACAGATTTGCGGCATTACTGGGCATTACTAGGCAATTTTGGGGGATTAGTTTGGGCATTAGGCCTTGCTGGGGCATTATAAAGATAAAATAAGGTAAAATAAGATAAAATAAGGTAAAATAAGGTAAAATAAGATAAAATAAGATAGAATAAGATAAAAAAGATAATAAGATAAAGTATATAATGCCCACTGGGCATTACTGGGCATTGGTGTACAAGATTTTGGTCAGCGAGTTCCCCCTCGTCGGCTAAAAGCCATGCGAACCGATGCGAACAGCTAATCGACTCGCAAGTTTCCGCAAGAGCAGAATTTTCGTATACGTTTCTCTTTCGAAGGGACTCAAGAATCGAGCCCCAGGTCCGCCGATGTGGAACCAACGGCGCGATATCATCGACAAGTATCTTTGTGGAAACGGGTGACCCGTAAATTCGCGCAACATATTCCATCGTGCTCGGTGCTGCTCTGTAACTATTCTCATCGGTTGACGTGCCCTTGGGAAAATTTACTTTGAATGAAATTAAAGTTTTCAAAGTAATCTTTCAAATCTAAGAGTTTGCTTAAGAAATTTTAGAGTAATTTTCGACACTTAAAGTAATTTTTAGACAGCCAAGCCTGTCGAAGTTCTCGTCACAAGAAAACCGCACGCGGTATTATAAATTATATCACACACTTTTCACAATTCTTAAAGTAAGTTTTCGGTTTACCTTAAATAAAAGTTTAAAGTGTCCAAATTTACTTTTCATATTTCTTACTTTTCTAAAGTACAATTGTACGGTTTTCCAAGGTATATTTTCCCAAGGGTGGATTTCGCGAGCATAGATTTTCGCGTGCGGATACGAATACACCTGGACGGCGAGAGGTCGGAGGGTCGCGAGGTCGCTCGTCCCCGGGGTGGCGGCGCGGCGGCCGCGGCACGGATTCGGGTCACGTAATCCGCTGTCGTGGGCAGACGAAACTTCGGGGCATCGTAACTGTCTGCGCCGCGCGCATCCGATTGCCCTGGAAATTGGCGACGGTGGCAGCCACCTTCGGCGCGCGCCCTCCTTCTCTCGACCATCCTCCGCGAGCGGCCGGAAACGCCGTCCGCGGCTATCAGGCTCGGAGCGCGAACTTGAGTGCTATCTGAGCCAAGTGCACGGGACGCTTCGGGGAATACGAGGCGCACTCGCGCGCACGCTTGTGTCACGGAAATTCTTGCGGAAATCTGCGATATGGATCCTGCGAGCCTGCAGAGGTAGAGTTGCTCACGTTTTCGAGGGAGCCTCGTTACGTCGAATGAGATCGATTTCGACGACGAGAACAATCGGCGGGACTACGCTTTATGTACACGGAGAGAATTGTCTTTTCAAATTTATCCTGAAAATCGTGTAATCACGGGACAACATGGCGTTTTCAACGACTTATATTTTTCTAGTAAAATGTATGGTGAAATTTCGAAAGACTCAAAAAATTCTTCGAAATTCCTTGTCCCACGATTACATAATTTCCAGGATTTTTAAAAGAAAATTCTCTCCCTGTAGATACACTGCATCTTTTATTGGGTGAAACCACTCTTCCACCGAAGTTTCTCGGCACACCAACGTGCTCTTAATAACAATGCTGTTATTAAATAATGTAATAATAATAGTAATGTAAGATAATAATAGTAAATTAATTTAAATTAACTGGGCTAAACGCACAAGAATATAAAAGTTAGAAAATGAACACAAAAGCTGTTCAAGTGTTTACATTCTTATTAGCGTCTACACCCAGCTTGTTCGTTCAGCCCGTTTGACACTTGATTTATTTTTAGTCGAACGAACTTTGACTTTCTGTATTTTTACATAAATTTATTTTCTAATTTTATTTAAAACGTTGCGTAGAGAATGTAACACGGAAAAAATGTAGCAGCCGTAGAAAAAAAACTGCATGTAGTAACTAAATTTCAGTTGTAAAATATGGACAGCTAATATGTAGTTGTGATAGCCAATATTTCGCTACTGTGCCTATTGTATAATATTAGATGTGACAGCAAACCGTTCGCTGTGGTTTAGAGATTTATAGTTAACGCAGCACAATGTTTTTAGCAAATCACGATTAGCTACACGGAGAGAATTTTCTCTTAAAATTTATCCTGAAAATTATGTAATCGAGAGACAGCATCGCATTTGGAAGAACTTTGTGAGAGCTTTTTGCAATTTTACCATACATTTTACCAGTAAAATGTGTACTAAATATAATTACTGGTAAAATTAAAAAACTCTCACAAAGTTCTTCGACATGCCATGTTGTCTCTCGATTACATAATTTACAGGATAAATTTTAAGAGAAAATTGTCTCCGTGGCAAAAATTTTTTTTCAGTGAAGATTCGAATTATTGTGCAAGCTGCTTCGCGCGCGCAATTCAATCAGCTTCGCGTACTAGACGTACCGGTAATAGAGTGAATGCGTAATTAGTAGATTCCGTATGCATGAAGATGCTTCCATTTACAAAACTTCGCGCCGTGTTTATTCCACGATGATCCTGCTTCCGACTTTCGTTTGCGTCCGGACGAGATGAGATGGTTATCACCAAGTTATATTGCAGCGCGCTCCCGTTTGCAAATTCGCGATCGAGGGAGACAGGTGGGAAAGAAAGGACGAACGTAAAAAGACCTGCTTTTTTTACACGTTAAGCCCCGAAGCCGCTTATGATCGTAATTAACGGCGAAACGAATTCCCGTTTGGCCGCGCGCTTGGATTTAATTTCACATCGCGGGGGCGATTCCGCGGGATATATTTAATTCCGCGTGGATCACCCGAGTCGGATTTGCTAAAAAGTAATTAAATTGCGCCGAACGTAAATCAGCATCAAAACGAGATAAAAGCGAATGACTCCGCGCGATCAGTTGCTGCCGCGAAATATTTAATTAGAGCGGCGATAATTGGCACCGAAATCGCCGACATAAATATTTAATCGTACCGTTGCGCTCTTAATGATAATAATTTGATGCATCCGTCTCATTTGGAATAATGCGCGCGTCCCTCCGACCTAGCTTAATGACGATTTAATCACCGTTCCGCGCCAAATCGAATTTCATTACGCTAGTTGGGGGATTTGTGTCGTTCGACATATAAAGTGACACGGAAACTATCTAACAGGTTATTCCCTTGGCGAAATGCGCCAGAAAATATTTTCACGCCACCAGTTTGAAATCGCTGTAATGCGAGCAATTTCAATGTTCAATACCGATCGGACTGCAGAGGCAATCTAGCAACTTGCAGCAATCTTCTCGCAATATTACCTTCTTGGAAAATTTCGCTGTTGCACTTGGAAAAGAATTATAAACAAATAAGATTAGTCTCTTATCCGTGCGTTGCTTGTGAAGTTTGATATAAGATTAAAGCACAACTTTCTCGGATCGGTTTCTACAATACATAAAGGAAATCAAGTCTCGACACTGTTCTCAATCAAAGATATCGCTCGATATCGTATCAATTACATTTCCGGGAATTTATTCTTCGAATATCGTATATACATCTCGAGGTAATCGGCAAAGTTTTCGAATTCGATCGCAAGCATTTAAAAATAGACGATTCGAAATACCGTTCTAAAAATAGTCGCCAACAAGCTCTGCACTTATCCGCATTCTGGCCGACATTCTACGATCCGGCAATTCTCTAGACTGGCAGACGTACATAATGGCCGTGGGGCATATCGAGCCGTCTTGTAAAGTTTCCGCGGTACACGCGTGGAAGCTCAAATGGGTGCCATTACGAGCCGCCGGTAGAGACGTCGGTACCTGCGGTACTCGCGAATCCTGCATTCTGCGAGAGAAAGGTCAGAACTTCAGAAGCCTCAGCGCGGAGGCCGCCGCTAATCTATTCCCGGCTTAAACGAGCGCTTCAGCATTAAAGCCCTCCGCCTCGTGTAGGAAGCTTCGAGCGAATAAAGTGACTTTCTTTACGACGGAGGAATCCCTTCGCCTGTAGCGAAACTCAACGAGAGTACCGTACACGACGCACGGAATACGGAGAGAACGATAATTTATAACTATTGCCATTCTAATTTAGCGTATAAGGTACAACTATACCAGGGAGATTCATAAAAGCAACGATATGACAATAAGTACGACATTTTTGCGAGATTACTCAATCATTCAATGCAAATTTAAACGCGAAGATGAATAGAATTTGAAGTTAGCATTTGATATCTTTCTAACAATCATTCGTGCTATGTTGAGGAATATGAAATCCCTTTAAAAAAAAGAGATGTTACCGGCGTGAATGTCGTTATCGAACGGTTGAGTCCTCTTTTCCGCGATGCCGATTGGGCTTCACTTCTCTTTTAGATTCATGTCACGCTTCATCTCGCATGTGAATTTTGACAGTTTGTGAAAAATATACTTAAAGAAGGTCAGAGACGAAATACAAAGCTAACGAAAGAGAAGTTAAAGTCAAACATCTAGTTGAGCGAGGGAGAATGATATTGACAAAGTAAATTTAATAAGAAAATGAGAGACAGTTTGAAAAAATAATCAGAATGCATTGAAATAATTAGTAAGAATGGATGAAGATGAGAGGTGATGTAGAACAATAATTATAATGTATTAATTGTTAATTTAAAAAAGTGATTTAACTATTAACTAACTTATCAAGAGAATGAAACATTTAGTAGAGAGATAGAGAATTGAACTTACCCTAAAACGTAAGAATAAGGATAGCGCTAAATGAGGCGCGCGCAATGTATATTGCTCTAGTGTATATAAAATATCCATTTTATCGGTACTTTTGAACAAGCGAATATCTGATTTCAGGTGGTTCCAGACGACGCTATGAGTCACGATCTAACGACCACCTTGAGAAGCGAGCTGGCGGCCCTCGAGTACAAACGGGACAGGCTTATGTCTGAGGTAAACCGATTATCGCTTTTCTGCCACGATAATCGGCCGAGTTAGTAATCAATTCGGTCTCAATTCGTTCAGCTGCAGGAAATGAAAAGCGCCGTGAGATCGCGGGACCAGAGGGTCGTGGAGCTACAGGTAGAGGCGGATCAGCTTCGCGAGCAAGCAGCCAGGCAGAATGCCATCGTCTCCAGTCTCAAGAAGCGCATTCAGGTTAATTTGCTTCCCTAACAAGCGGACGATTAAAGGGTCCCGTCGTTAATGAGCGCCGAGATAATTCGCTTCTTCCATCTCGCTCGATTATCTCTCTCTTTCGTTGAAAAGATCAACGCGAGACTCACGGAATCTTGTAGTCGACAGATGGCAGGCAATATACATCTTGCAAAATCCAATAACGATTTCAGGAGTTGGAAGAGAGGGAGAGAAACCTCTATGCGTCCCAGGGCAGGAATGAGATCACGATACAGGGTCTGCAGCGTGACGTAAAATACCACGAGGATAAGGTCAGAGAATACGACAAGAAAATTCGACAATTGGAGCACAATATGTCCGAGGAGATTCAATTGAAGGAACGGGCACGCCTGAATCTGCAGGTGCCGTATGTTCCAACAATGTGCGCCCGGTCGCGCTTGCCGACACACTGTCGACACTTCCATTTATATCTCGCAGAAAAATCACATAAATTTCTCCCTTCCCTTTGTATTCAAACCGCTTTTTCGATATCTTACACTTTCGATAGGATTTTGTGCGAAGGTTGGCACATGCGTTGAATGTCGAGTATTGCGAGACGGCGCATCACAGCTCGGAGATGGTGATTCACAAAGCCGAGGAACTTGTGCAAGAAGTGAACCGCTTGCGGACCAAGAGCACAAACGTCGAGACGCAATTGACGGGCGTCGAGGTGGATTTCAGAACCTGCAGGGACGCTTTTGATCGCGCCACTACAGAAAAAGAGCAGTTACAAAGACAAGTGTCCGTACAGCTAGTAGACATAGATCGTTTGCGTCAGGTACGACGATTGAGATTTCGTTTACGGATCAATTTGAAAGAATCTTTTGTTCCTAAATTTAATTACGTAAACTGCGTGGACGCAGTTAATATTTTAATTATACCGAGCAGTTCAAATCCATAAAGTTATTAAATGCTGTATTATTTATTGCTTACACAGTTGGAAAATTTGTTTTCTTATTAAAAAAAATGCCGGTTAAAATTTTTTTGTTAAATGTATAACACATTCATGTGTTAATTTAATCTATTGCTCTTGTGTTAATTGACCTCAAATGTAAAATTATTAAAATAACTGAAATGAAATGTTAAAACAACACAATGTGTGCTTATTTTTTACTCTGACACAATTCATATGTTCTTTTACTCGTATATTAGTAATAAAATTTATCTGTTAAAATTTACAGAATAAAATATTGATTTTATTCTATATAACATAAGTGAGAGTGGTTTCGAACCGTCATTTGACTTATTACATCTGTAAAATGTAAAAATTACATTCTTTAAATTCATTTTGTCATTAAAAATATGTTAATTTTACACAAAATTTATTTTAAATTATTTTGAGATTTGCATTTATTTTCTGTTACAATATTAACAGAGTATTAGTGTGATCATTTAACATATCCATATTATGTTAAATTGACACAAACATTTGTGTGGACCGTTTGGGATATGTGATATCTGTTAAATTTAACACAAATTTTTCAACTGTGTACCATTATCCTAGGAGAAGGAGTGTCTGGAGATGCAATGTAGAGTCGCAGAGAAGGACATGAACGACTTGAGAGACAAGCTCGTCAATGCGAATAGAAGCTTAACCAGTGCGACAGGGAACATATCTAATCAGGAGGCGTTGATCTGCCAATTACGAGGTAAACCACCGTGACCTGATCGATTCGATCTCATACCTTCTGGTAACCCATATCGCTCTTGCAGAGGACATGAAAGCCCGCGAGGAGAAGACGCAACGCGTACAAAACGAGTTCCGCCACCTTTTAGAGTCGGTTGCGATCCTCGTCAGTACACCAAGCCGATTCGTCGAGTCCCACGAGAACGCGATCAAGGATCGCATTCGAGAAATTCTGGCAGACAACAAAGATCAGTCGCTGGTAGCTATTAAAAACCGCGGGCGTGCAACTTTGTACTTTTGTTTGCGAAAAGTCAAATTTTCAAAATAATTAAGTTATTTAAATAACCGTCTTTACTTTACGTAAGACATAAAAATGTTTGTATTGAGAATTTTGTCGAAATTTCGAAAAACTTTACATTGGAATTTTTATACGGTTTTACACGATATCGCGAAATTTATAATCGCTGTGAACGCGTTCTTTTCTCTCTGCTAGAAAATACAAAGTCTTCGGGAAAAGGTGAACACAGCGACGGAGTCGACGAATCGGCAGAGCGAGTTGGTCGAAGCCACGATGATGAAGGTACGCAGTTTAGAGGAGGAACGCGCCGCTCTGGAAGCTAAAATACACAAACTCGAATCCGAACTCACGAGCAGCGATCTCTCCAGAGAGTCTTTACGCAGAGACAAGCAGACGGTAATTTCAAACGCTTCTATCTCTTGGAAATGTTAAAGCAACCTTGACACATAGTACAGAGAACTAGGGGCTAAAGACGTTACACAATTAACTACCTTACGTCTTTTAAAATTAAATAAAATATTGAGTCTTTAGGAAGCAATCTTTAAAAATCTTTAAAAAAGCAACTGTCTAATTCGAATTTCTAGCGTCGCAAATTTCTAATTTCTAAAAGCTATATAGAAATTAGAAATTTATCTTCAGCTTCCAATCTAATGACGACACGTGTATTGTTTGTTCCCCATGTAGCACCGATTCTAAAGCTGACTGTATTTTAAACTTTTTCAGTTCGTGACCTTCCTGGATCGACTGGGCAAGGCGATGCAAATGGACGAAATCTCTCAAGAGATCGGACTCGATCTTCAAACCGAGTCACTGTTGGTGCGGGCCGAGCAGCTGGCCAGATTGGAGACCGACAAGCTAGTCGACAAGGTAAAGGGCACGGTTGATATGATGTACTTTCGATGGCGCTGTCACGTTGCTAACTGTCTTCTCCTTTGTTCTGTGTTTGTTTGTCGTGCAAATCGTGTGTGCTTACCGCACGTCGCAGTATTTGTGCTCCAGCTACACGACCCTACCCAGGATTCGGCGCGAGCGATCGTTCCACGAGCTTCTCTGTCTCAAAGAAGTAAGCCCCCGGCGCGAGCAAAGCGCCTTAGAGAGAAACTTTACAGGATTCTCAAGCATCCTCTTCGTAGACATTCATTCCGTTCCTCCGTCGTGGAGTATCCTTAATGTAGAGAGAGGCGCTTTTCATTCCTCCATTTCCTCCTCTATGGGATTTTCCGATATCGGCATATACCTTGCGGTTGAATCGGACGTTGGCCGAGCTTACGACGTAATTGTTGCTCCAAATTGACAGTTTATCGGAAATGCCGCGTAATAAAGTTCCATTTAATGTAGCATCCACGATGCTGTTCGTGGCGCGTCGACATTGCGATCGCTCTTTCCAATATAAAACTCATACTCCGCGTACTAACTTTTAATTAAATAATCTCCGATAACGTGTCAGCAAAAACAGGCTTTTCCTTTGACAGGACGTTCCCTCATTTTGTGAAAAGTAAATTTGTTAATTTTTCCATATAGGTATTATGTGTTTAATGACACGTGCAATAGAAAATGTATTGTAAATGCACACGAAGAAATCACTGTTATTTTATTTCACTCGTCATCCCTCAAGACTCATGGGCTACCAGATCAATAATTGCACGAGGAATTGGTCGAGCTTGATATTTTTGCGTTTGTAATAATATACTACGTATTTGCACGTTATGTCACACCTGGGAATCGTCTTCGCCGCCAAGAAGGACTCGACAAATGTGGTTTTCTTTTCCTTTTGTCCCGCAGACTTCCGTGGTCTATCAGTTGCAACGTCGCGTCCGAACCCTGCGGGAGCAATTGCAGCGCAGGGACCTGCATCTGGACCTTCTACGTAGGAAGCTATCTCTACAGGAGGACAGCGTGCGGATGAAGTCGCTGTTGCAGAGCGAGCGCGACGAGGCGAACATACGGTTTGTTTTGGAGTCGCCTCGGGCCGATGGCGGCAAAGTTTTGAACAAACTTTCAATTTGCTCTTTGCAAATGCATTGAATAATTTGCAAGAACTATTATTTACAATGGAATGTAATTGCGCTACGTCTCTTTCCCTTCCCGACTTGCCTTTGAAGACACTGTCCGTCCATATCTTGAACAACAATTAAGAGACTATCACCTCTGTCGCGATAATTAATTCGCGTTACGATCGATTCCTTTATCATCTATTGAGCACGTTAGCGGGAAAACAACGCTTATCGAGCAACTGTTCGAGGAGAGATATGCAGAGTCGCGGTTTATTGGAAAATTTAGTCGGCCGAGAGTGCGGCTTTATGTATCAGAGGTGCGGTGTGATTTTTCCACCGCTGTGACCGCCGGCGGTTACCTGTGATTTCTAACAGTGGTTTATTTCAAATGCGTCGAAACGTATCCACATTCGTTGCTGCATGTTAGGCAACTGTTAGGCTCCTCTTCATGTCCAACGAGACCCGAATTGGAGAAAAATGGAAAAAGATATGACCGGCTTTCCTTCCTTTCTTACAGCGCCAAGAAGCTGGCAAAACAGGTCGAGCGATTTCAAGTCCAATTGTCGGAGGAGAAGACGCGGAATCGGGAATTGAGCGCACAATTGACGGAAGCCGCGGATTACAAAGTATGTAATTTCAAGAGTCCGTACTTTCTCACGATCGGACAAATCCGAACGCTTCGAGGAATATGCATGAAACGTGGCATCTGTAGCGTGTGTAATGATTTTATCGCAGCTATGGTTAATGACAGTTGGCGATGTTGGCTGCATTAAATCTCTAATGCATTCGTAAGCTCCACGAGATGCTTGCAGTGTAACAAACGAGCGTTTAATTTTTTAAACAGTTTAATCTATTCCGGGCTTCCACGGGAAACTTCGTTAAATCGATTTTACGCTGGTGAAAACGTGGCGCGCGGCGTGCTCGCCGGGAAAACAAAATTCCCGAACGAGTTCTTCCTCGTAAACCGCGCGAGAAAGCCCTTCATAGTCTAACAACTATCGATCAAACGTTTTAACCCACTTTACGACATTTTCCCGCGAGCAGATAGCTTCGCTGGAACGCAGCCGGAAGATAGAGGAGCTCCAGAAGCGTCTCGTCGAGAGCGAGATGTTGAGGACGCGCTACAACAGAAAGCTAACGATGGCGAAGGAGCAGATGAGGACGACCGCGGAGACGGCCGATCAGGAGAGATCGATAAACGACCATTCCCTGCAGCTCCTCCGCGACGAGATGGCACAGGTCAAGCAAAATCTCTCCGAGGTCACGAGGAGGGAATCCCAGGTGAGATGCATTATTACTTTTGCACGTGTCGGATATCGCGCGCGTGATTTCATCTCGCGTCACTGTCTACGGAGAAAAGTCCCCTAATATGAGACAGGCTCCTAATACGAGATAGTGGAGTTTTTGCTAAATTGATAGGCGATATTTGTTGGTTCCACCATGAATTTACTGCCCTTGGAGTGAAATCTGTTTAGTGGAAAATGATTGTTATAGATCGTGTAATCGCGTTGCGAAAAAAAGATTTGTGATTATGTAAATTTGGACGTTGAAAATCTGCTATCTCGTATTAGAATTCTATTTCATAATCGAGGACTTTCCTCCACATCCGCGTTCACGTTCCATTAACGAGTTAAAAATATGGGATACATAATAGAGAATGAGAAGCATATATGAATAAATAGATTATATATAAAATAAAATAAATCCGTCGGTCGAAGCGAACGCCGAATAAATAAATTGTGTCATTAATATCAAGGATTTGCGTCGCGTGACGTTTTCTTTGTCCGCCCGAAAAACCCCCGTGTCTCAATGCCGGATTGTGCATTCGGCACGCGCATTGGTACTCACGTAATTCTGATTTATGACCGTTCGTGTGCACGAGCGCGGATTTGCGAGCGATTAAATTACGCAAAAGAAGTCGCTGTCGAAACGACCGGCGGAGCCTCGTTGCGTCGCGCACAAACCGCCTCGATGCGTTACATATGTATTTCTCGGAATTCCCATTTTCTAAAGGCTACGTAAATCTCCGTCTTCCCTGAATGATACATATTTCCCTTCCCCACGAGAAAGACGGGAGAACGGAGCTTTTTTAATTCTCCGCGCAAGAAGCGCCTAAAGAAGCTAATTATATAATACGAATCTACGTTATATCCTTCGAAAATCCAGCGTAATTCTCCGCCATGAGTTCAAAACACTTTGATCTCTTATTAAAGCGGCGAGCGCTCCGCGGTGCTTATATTCCTAATACTTCGCGGAGGTAGAGGCCGAAAGGGACTCGTTAATTCATTGTGGCAATCCCAATGACTCGCAACGACGACCATAATTATGATCTCTCTCTCTCCCTCTCACGCTTTAGAGGACTTGTCCCAGAACGTGTAATAAATAATAATTCCAATTTTCTCTCTCTCTCTCTCTCTCTCTCTCTCTCTCTCTCTCTCTCTCTCTCTCTCGTCGGGCGCGTAACGCTTGTTTAGAATGATTTGAAGTTGATTCCACGTCATAGTAATTCGAGACACGTTCGCGCCCGTCGCCGGGCCGTAAAGCGGATAGCTTCTACGACTTAAACCCGCGCCGCGGCACACTGTGAAAGGACTGTAAATCTTTCGCGCGATTTCGCGAGGCTTTATCCCGCGACGTCGCTGCCGTAACTCCGCTTTCCGAAGCGTCGCGGAACTTTAATTTAGTTCGAACAAGCGAACATTAATTATAATAAATTACACGCGCGGCACTTGAGTCTTAATACCCTCGCTGCACATCTGTCACATTTGCTGCAAAATAGCATTCGAAACTTGAGGAAAATATATAAATAGAGATGGTAAAACGAAAGAGGAAATAACATTATTCTAATGGAAAAAGTTTCATCCGTGCTCTAATATGAAATCGCAAACTTTAATGCAACTTACGTGTTAATGTTATTAAATCTGCAAAAACAGTTTGGATTTCGTGAATAATATTTCGCACCAAATACTTTTATATAATAAAAAGAATTTGCAAATAAGAAATGACATTCTAAAAAAGTGAAAGAACCCGTGTTTTGCCTGCGTAGAAACAATGGTTTAAATTCGCAAAATTTGCAACAGAAGAGTTAACGCTCGAGCGAGTCGCGCGACTGTGCGAGTACGAGCTTATACGAGCATGATTCAATTCGCAAAACGCCCATTTCCTGTCTCAGCTCCAGAGCTTCCGTGTCTCCGTGGCGAAGTTATTGTCGGAGCCAATCTGCACGCCCGATTACGAGATTATTTCGCGGCTGCAGAAAATGGTCGCGGCTCATCGAGACTTTACGATGCTCTCCCGTAGATACGACGAGCCTTTGGAAACGAGTCCCTCGAGATGCACCAGGTAATAGTCAGAGAAGCAAGTGCCGTCGTATTATCCGTAATTTACATTTTCTCTAAAATCTACCGATGTGCCAGTAATGGAATATTATCGTACGACTTCGTCTCACGTTTTCCAGGAGCATTTCTAGAATTGTTGCACGATCGATTGTTGTAAATCTCCGACACTTTTAAAGCCAAATACTGCAAATATTATATATAGTTATATAATTTTCCTTCTTCGAGCCTTCACCGCCCATCGTATTATCGTTATATATGACGCGTGATTTTTAGAATAAAACTAACGAAAATTTGAGATAGTTATTTGTTATAATCCTTTATGTTTTGTTTGTTTCCTGTATTTTTCTACATCATGGATTCATATGTTTCCATTATTCTGGTAACATGTATCTTTCCGTTACAGCATCCATCCGGTCCATCCGCCGAGATCGCCCGGTTCACGTTGCACCCGTTACGAGGACAGCGGTTTCGCGGACCCGCCCGATCTCCATGACATCGATGACGATTACAACAAGAGGCCAGTGAGGAGCAGCCTTCTTCCGTGACACCGGCCAAAGTTCAAGTTTTAAGCATCCCCGGTGGACGGTTCACTCCGCGTTCAGTCCACCTCGAGGTCCCCGAACGGGGATCTCCAATGTCCGATCTCACGTAGCTGAATGACGTTGCGGGTGGGAAAGCTCTTCCTCGCACGTGTGTCGTAAAGCGTTACGTTTATTTCCGGTAAACGAGCGACTTTTACGAGATGAAGAGGACCATTTGCTTATCGACCATCGTCGTTTGACGAAATAGGCAACAGGCACGCCACGAGATCGCTCGCACGTCGATCGAGCGTTCACGATGGCTCGCCCCAGCACCGATTCCGATGGAATGAGCGTTGAAAAATATCGAACCATCGATCCGTGTTATTACAAGAGAAGAGGAAATCAATTCGACGCGTTCGCATGAAATCGCAATTTCGCGCTAATTATTAACTGGCAAGCGTGAGAAATTCCTAACGGGTCGTGTGGAACCGATACTGAACGTGCAGAGCATTGGATGTCGCGAACGAAAATCATCGAAAGTGTTCAGTGAAAATTATGCGAACCTGATCGTTCGCGTAGCTATAGTTCGAGGTAATTTATTTACAAGTCGCATGGCGCAGACTTTGATTTATACACGCGAATACGATAGTTATTATATATATATATATAGGTAATGTATACGTCACTCCCGAAAAAAATTGCCTGGATGTGCCACTTAAAGCAAGCAGGAGAGTCATTAATATGTATTAAGAACCGTATCGAGTAAGACAAGTCAAGCATGTAAAGCACGTGCAAATGAAATAATGAAGAATCATGTAAATGAATGTACGTGAAAGGATTTTAGTTTATGAAGAAAGAGGCCAGTTTGAGAAAAAATGTGGAAATAATATTTGGAAGAATTCAAGACTGATTAATAGGATCATTTTTTTTGTGAAGAGTTTACAGTACCTAGTTTTTCTTTCTTTGTCTTACAGAATAGAAATGCATCTTGGATAATTGATTACATATGTATATATAAGTGATTATACATGTATTGTATGTATAAAAAATCTGTGCGCGTCTATTTTAACAAAAAATACGCACATACGGGTTCATAAAATTTTTTATAGAAGTTAAGAGTATCGTGTAATTTTACTTATATGATTGTGATTACCTACATTTCAATATTTCCAACGGAGCGAGAAGAAAAACAATTTTGTAAAATTTAATTTACTTTGTGCAACATGATCGTTTTGTTAACTTATCCGATTTGTTAAATAAATGTTATTCGAAGTAACTTTCTAAGGCCGACTTACGTGTATGTACTTTACATCCTAATGTCAATTCCTGATTCTATAAAAATCACTAAGATAATCCCACAAATAAAAGAAGAAAATGGAAGGCAGTAAGAGACGACGACCGGTGTTAGATGCGGAGTAAAAAGATTTAATGTATAACATTTATTATAGTCAAACGTTTCGATCAACGCGACCCTTTTCAATGACATACAAAAGAAGTTAATTATCGCACAACAATAATGCAACAAAGATAATCCCAAGTTAAATTCTTATGAGGGATAATAACAGAAGTTTGAAATAATCTACTCCTACACGGGGAAAAATGCTATTGAATTACACAAAACTGAAGTTGCTTGAATTGAACGTTGACGTCACGAGCTGCCACAAACATAAATAATTCACTCAATTGTATTTGCTATGGATTGTAATTTTAAGCATTGAACTAAATATCCAGATTTTTAAGACAACTATCTCTTGTTTTTCATTCGTTAATACTAAAGTTGTTTCAACGATTTTATTTCAATTACACAGATCTTGTTGATACAACATCACTTTTTTTCCGTGTACTCATTCTACAATGGTTCTTTGACCTCGATATCACCGATCGTTTAACGCAATACGCTCTTTTTTAATCAATCCGAAACAATGCGAGGGATGTACGAACGGCGCTCGCACGAATCGTGTGAAACATTTCACGGTTCGACAAGCGGAGTTCCAGGCGTTCCCCATTTAAATACTTGTACGTTGGAGCTACTTCACAGTTGCGATCACACAGCGCGGGCTCCGATATCAATGATCTCCCGCTGATCAACGAGCGCAATCCCGGTCCGACCTAGTTCGGCTTAAGTAATCGTATTCCATATCGCGCTATTAATTGACCTCATAATAATTACACCGAACGCCGAAATTGATGAACGAGGGATTTCCTGTTTGCGGCATCCGCAGAGGGTTCTGACGCGTTACTCGTTATACACTATTGAAAGCCCCTTCCGGCGACACGGTTCCAATTTCCATGCCCACCACGCTCGTCAATGAACGCCCGAAAGTGACGTGCAGGTAACGGTATATCTTCGGTAACATCGATCGAAGATCCCCTATCGATTGTTGCGCGAGTCTACGATATCGCAATTATCTGACCGACGAACCCTACAACTGTGTAATTAGCTGGGAACAAGGTTGCAGTGACGCTAAAATTGGCTAAAATCGCATTGCGCAACCTAAATAACCCGCCTGGGATCTCCCGAGAAGTTTCTCAGTCCCCCCCCTCCCCCCCGAGAACTCACAGAAAGACTTCGGAGCTTTTTCATCGTAAATTGACAATCGTAAAATTCGCTAAATATGTGTGCGGTGCGTCATTGTTTTCCATGTTTTGACAAAAGATATCAAGTATTTGCAATTGCTGCATACTTATCAATATATGACGTATGATTGTAAAAAATGATATTTATGACACATATTTTTCAAACTGCTACATGTCTCACGACGTTTGATATATTTTATCGTAACTGAAGAGATAAAAATTTCTATGTTTTTGTTTTTAACATAGTTTGTTGTTGAAGTTCAACTGTAGCTAAATTTTCCTATAAAATCAGACAACGAAATTATCTTGATCAGTCGATGAATACACAGCAAGATACAGTATATTTTATACTTTACAGAATCGAAAATGAAAGCTGCAATTTCATTATTCGCTATAATTGCAATTGTAGCGCGCGCTTGTGTTGTTCTAGTTGTTTAAAAAGTTCGTGAAGATTGCATTAAAAACAGGTGGTCACTTGGTAATACTCCCTTAAAATTTAATGAAATTTACAATTACAGATCATGTGCTTTTTATATTTATAGACATAAATGTAATATTTCAAATGTTTTTTCTTAATTTTATCATTGAGTTATATTCTTTAAACATTCTTAATTTTTTATTTTTTAAATTATGCATACATACGTGTATACAAATTTGCAGAACACGAAGAAAAGAAACCGAGACTGTATAATATCGTAACACTTCGTAACTGATAAACAATTTTGATATTATGCTAATGTTTAAACATTATTAATACACACTTATTTAGAAATATATATATTTCTGTATTTCAGTCAAAAGAGGACTATTGGTATGAATTCTAATGTTTTCATTATGGTGAATGTGTTGATTACGATACTTGGAAACAGAGTTACGTCTCTATTAACCAATAAAATGTTCCATACAGCGTCTTAAGATAAGCTTAAGACGATCTTAAATAAATAATCTCATTATGAATATTTAGGTCATTCGCGAATCCTTTCTGCCCCCCTGGAACTCTCCCACGAGAATCTTCCTCAGAAAATATTTTTGCTTCTCAATATTCCTCCTAGTGATTCACCTTTTAAAATCTACGTGCGACCAACATTTACGGACTTACAATCAACAAATTCACAGAGTATTAATAATCGATACAATTATTTTTCGGTGACTTTATCGATATTCTTTCCTCCTCCTTTTCTTCGGGTTTCTCTAGCGTTTATGAATTATCCCGTAATGGTCTTTTTTTAAAAAAAAGGTAGTTTTCGCGCTTATGGGGAAACTCTCTCGCGTAATAAGCCATTGACCCACGCGACACACGTGAACACGCGGTTAACACATCTTCGCTTGTGAATGATCCCGGGCACGGGTACACGATGGTAGAGACATGCAGCTCACGCAGTCTGGGTCAATATGGGGTTTAGAGTCACGTCGGTAGTAGCTCGAAAGAACCGCAAGTAATGATTCTTCCTTTCACGCAAAGTGGGTCTCGCAGGAAGTCGCTTTAAATAATACTCATCGTTACTGGCACATGAACAATCGAGTAATATCACTTTGCAAAAAAAGCGCGTTGATGCAGCTGCAATATCTCTCTAACGTGCGAAGGTTACGATGGAATCCGTCGCGAAAGAAAACCATCACGCACGATATTCGCGAAGCGACAAAACGTTCACGTGGCTTCCGAACAATGCCGTCGATTTCTTTAATTCGTCGCTAAATCCGTCACGCGGTTTGGCCTTCGCGTTCCTCCGAGATCGCGCAGACTTGCGCGTCACGTTTCGCTGTTCGGCACATTGCATTGTTCGGCGTATCGATAGTTTACACAGAAATTCACACGAAACCGGCGATTGGATTTGCCGATCGAACAAAGATTGCGTAATCGTGGAGCAACAGAATTCTTGAGTTTCAGAACAATTCGATAAAGAGACGGGACACGCCTGACGCATCATTATTTCGTATACTTTCCCGCATTATCGTCGACCGGTCGTTCTAACTTAATTGTTCTTACGCAATCGACATTCCGTAATGACATCATAATTCTACAGTTACACGAAGACTCGTTACGAAATTTACGAGCGGGTTGATTCATTACGTGAGCCGACTACCAGAATTCGAGTTGCTCCGCCATTCGCGTCTCGTCATGATTTTTGCCAACAAATTTTGCACCGTACTCCGACGCCGAGATTAATTGCTCGTCCTTTGCCACGGCACGGCGGGGTCGAACGTACTTTTTAATTGGTCAATCGAGCCAGAATCACAGGTCTGTCATCATTTCCTTTCGTGACAAGCGACTATTCGAGCTTCTCGAACGAGCGTATCTCTCCGTGCCGATCCGAAACGAGAGGATATCGAGGGACTGGTCACAACGAATGTTACGGTAATTTAATGTGCGGTAATTTAAAAGTAATAAAAGATATTTGACGATGCGCATGTGTACGTAGAATGAGATTAACCAACACACGAGACGTGTTTGTTAATTCTCTGAATGTAGAACCGCAAACTTGTAAGCACTCGAGCTCCAAGTTCTGACTCACCAGCACGATCGCCAGTAGTACGCGCTCGGTCTGCTATCATGTGCTATCAAAACACTATTGCACTCGTCACAAGTCGTATTTACACGCTTACAGATGTTGGAGGAATTTTTTCGAGAGCCCCTGAGTATGTTGGGCAGTTTAATATAATAGCGAGCGCGTCAGATAGACGCTGATGACTCTTAAATTCAATGTGTATAATTTAAGAAGTTCAAGAAGTCGCGGCAGATTGCAATTACAGGTAACTCCTCTAGCGGAGAATAGCCTACCATAATGACGTCGTCGATTTTAACGCGCCTCTGCCTACACGCATTTACGTGCCGTGCACTTTCTCGCCAGCTCTCGCACGCTGGACGCGTCCGTGAACCTTTCCAGTAACATCCCGTAAACCTAATTGCGTCTCGCGGACTTCATACCGTGCGCGCGACTTTATTGACCCATTAGATATTTACGACTCGTTTTCTAAACATTCCTAGGAGCGGGCGTTTAACGCAATCAGCTGACGCATCTTTCAAATCGAAAGCCGTTTTCTCTACGTGCTGTCTGCAATCGAGACAGAGAAAGAGAGACCGTAGATCGCACCTGCTTAAAGCGACCGTCGCGGCTGACGATTGGTCTCGCGAGACAGATTGACGGCATCGTTTCCGCGATTTTTCTGCAGGCTTCAGCTATGCCTATTGTGCTAAAGATAGCTCGCGAGACTGTGGGAAGTGTACGCAACTGGCGGAAAAATATGTACATGCAAGAGACGCGGTAAAAGCGGGCTACAATTTTCAGTGGAAATCCTACATTTTCCGGTGTACACGATGTTTCAGAATCAGTTTGTTAACGCAGCTGAACTGAACTGAAAAGCAAATTTGTATATTAACGTTCTAATTTTCTAAATCTTTCCGCTGTTAATGACAAAGAATAATTTTAATGATAGAGAATAATAAAAGATTTAAATTCGTATTAATTACATAATTGTTCTTCGTAATTTTTTACAATGATAATTAATAATATTACGGGATGTTTATCAGTTGAAAAACTTGTCAAATTTATTGTGATATAGATTGTGCCATTTATAAATTTAAATTAGAAATTATGAACTTAACTAGTTTGATCCAATAACCAATTAACTCGTTTGGATATTTGATAAAAAATACCGATTTTTAAATATAAAAATAAGCATAATTTAATTAGCCTATAGTTTTGGCTATAATTTTGTAATTGTATATAATGTAACAAAGAAGTTAACTCTTTTTTAACATTTTATTTATTTTTTGCAAATCACACTTGTAAAGTGATGCATGTATTCATTGAACGCAATTTTACCAAAATCAACATCACAAATTATATCTTTATACTTTCTGTGATTAAAAAAAATTGTCCGCAGTTTATATTAAAAAAACCTATTAATTATTGTTAAAAACAAGTATAGTAAAATACAAAGTATGAAATAAATACAATAGAAAATATAAAATATTAAAAAGACATAGTTTTCAGTACTTTTTTTATAAGCAACGTTTTTATACCTTAACCTGTCCCGCTCTGTCAGCTGTAGCTTCAGCCACGATGCCAGAGCTCATGGTAACTGCAACAACGGTAGCTAATAGAAGAATACATATATTATTTTATTATTGCAACTTAATCTGAAATTTGAATGCTAGTGTTGTTATGAGACCTTCAAATTTATACTACAAAAAATCGTGACTATCACATACAATCATTATCGACTCTATAAACTGTAAAATTTATCTAAACTTTCTAGAGTCTTCGACAATATAATAAATATATAAATTGAAGATTGTGTAATTCTTGAGGCTCCAATAGCATGATTGTTAGCTTATACTTCCGTATATAAATATGGAACTATAAAGTTGAAATGAGATACAGTTATCGGTTCTGAATGTGCCTTCATTCTGGTCTCACCGGATGTACAAATATTAATCGGTACAAAAGTGGTTTATGTAAATCGTGGCTGAAAATCTGATTCTGTCTCTTCAATCAAAGTAAGAGGCAAAAATTAATGTCTCTGGCAGCCTGATGGAGAAATAGGTCCAGTCTTGCTTTCAAGCCACGGAGGAACATCGACCATCCTCGTGACCAAGTTCAGGGCTAACAAGATCCCGTCTCACCTCTCTCGCTCCGAGAGACCGATCTTTCCTTTGCGTAAGGCGCCTCTTGCAACGTTTTCGCTCTCTCTGTCGTCTCTCCCACCATTTTCTCACAGACTTGACCGGCCACCCTTTACTTCATTGCGTTTTATTTTCAACGGTCCAGTCCGACCGCTATTCATTTATCCTTGTTTTAATCCTTTGCAAGTCTGAACTTACTCTTTAGCGTTCGATCCTTTTTTCCGTTTGCATTATCTATCATTTCACATATAAATAATACATAAATTTTTGGATCGTAAATATACGAGCGTATACATCGTGTTTTTTTATAAACAATTTTACTTTTACCAATAAATTCTATCAAAGAAAACTTCATAAAATGCTGATAAATTTTACAATTTTCAAGACTGGATAATGTTTATGATACTCTAATCACGATTTTTCGAGGTATAAATTTGAAACATCACTACAATTTTAACATTCAAATTTCAGACTAACAATAAGTTGCAACAATGAAAATAATATATGTATTCTTATTAGTGGCTGTTGTTGCAGTTGCTATGAGTCCTGGTATCATGGCAGAAACAATAGCTGATAAACCGGGACAGGCTAAGGTATAAAAATGTTGCTTATAAAAGAATTACTAAAAACGAAGTATTTTTTAATATTCTACATTTGTATAAATGTACGCTTAACAATGATTAGTAATTATAGTATTATGATTAGTAGGTTTTTATAATACAAACTTTGAATAATTTTTAAAAATCATAAATAGCATACAGATCTATAACCTGTAATTCTATATTTGTTAAAATTGTGCAATATGAGCACATGTATTATTTAATAAGTGTAATTGGCAACAAATGAGTGAAATGTTAACAAAGCAAATCCTTTATTAACATCCATACAAAAATATAAATTGTTATAAAAAATGCTATGCAAATCATATTGTATGTATAATACATATTTTTCTTTATATGTCGCAAGATGTAATACAAAGTTGGAAATTAAATTTTGCTTATTTTTTATTTTTCAGAAAATCGGCATCTTTGATCAAATAGATAAACTATGGGGCAGTTTCATGAAACTGTTTGAAGGCTAAATACATTATAATTACATACTATCTATGGCACACAAATATAGAAGATTTTGTAATTTAAGAAATATTCTACAATAATATTATTTGACTTTGTAAAATATTATATATTAACTTTTAAAAATAAAAATAAAGGTAATATATAATCTAATTATGTTTTATTCTCATGTATGTTACAACATATCGTGAATTATTACAATACAAAAATAAATATTAATGCACGTATATTCTACAGTTAATACCAATTCCTGTAAGGCAGTTAATTGGGCGCTAAATAAACTTCGTTAAATGCATTCTAATTAAATGATAGCATAATAAATTCTATGAGTTTTTCAACTAACAAACATTCTGTTTGTATAAATATTATTATTTGCATATAAAAATATAAAAAATTATATAAAATAATTAAAATATTTAAGAATAAAAATTGTCTTGTAATGTTTAATGTTTATTTAGTGTGCTATAAATTATTAATTTTAAACATATGTAACTATGTTTGTTATCTTATTTGCAATTTATTTAATATTTCTATAAGAGAAAAATTATATGTATAAATGGAAAGTTACATTTTCGTTACATAGACGAGAAGTTTAATAAAGTTGGCGATTATTATCAAAACTTGTTGCTCGTATAGTATTGAATAATATATCTTATAACAAGAATAAAGACTTATTGTCACCAGTACATAACTAACAGTGTAGAAAAATTGATAACCGACACAACTGGCAATTTTAATTAGAGAAAATTTATTACGAAAAAATATTACCTCAGCCAGGGTTTAAACCTGAACTTCCCTACACTCACCAATTCGGGGATACTTAAAAATCGCGTATCGACAGTTCTGTGTACTGCCGACAACCCGAATCTTATGTTTTATATTTTTTAGCACTATATTAAAATACATGTATTATGAGACGCGTAATAATCATGTTTTATTTTATTGTATGTTATTTATTTTAGTCACTGCATATTTTTAATAGTTAAATTAATACGCTACTACAAATAATTATGGTTAATTTATTTTTAAAATGTATAAATTATAATACTTTAACACTGTGTAAATTAATACTAATTGAAATATAGAAAAGTGGTAAAAATTAAAAAATTAATCGATTAAAACTTAGGTTTCCAGCTGTATATCGCATTTAAATTGAGAACAGTAAGTTCTAGTGTATCTTATTGTATTATACAGGGTGTCAGATTCGATATGGACAATCCCAAAGATTATAGTAGATTGGGTTAAACTGAGAAGAAAAGTTATATAAAATTTTACAAAATCGTAATTATTATCGGCCGAATTCAGAAAAACGTCTGAGCC